ACATCCAAAGAAACACGGGGCAGCGTTTCAACTCTTCTACTGGATCCATACAATCTACATTCACAGTCATCAGTCACAGAAGGGAATGACTCATGTTGTGGTTTGGTCCTCCTTGCTGACGGGCGACTGCTTTGCCAGGAGGGGAGTGTGATGACTCTGGGGAAACGAAGCTTCAGTTGCCGGCTGTGGTGGTATAGCCCGTATGTAAGAAGTGGACGTAGTCATGGTGACGTCACCCATTGGTTTGTGGACTGACACGTTGAAGCCTCGAGTTCGGCGATTTCGACGTCGCCAACTTGCATTACGGCCGTGGCCATGTTGGTTTTTTTTGCAATCAATGAAAAGAAGTTACTATATTTGGAATGCGGAGGAGGGACGCAGAGACACCGTCTACGTCTCTGGTAGTGATAGAGACCTGTCAATCACACTAAGCCCGCCCTAAAGCATAATCTATTTGACTATAAATGGAGCATAATTTACTAAATAAACATCATGTTGTATTGAAGAAGACTTGAAACTAGAGATTGAGACCATAAACTCATGTTTACAATGTTTACAGAGGTAATAAATCAAGAGAGAGGTAGTCATTTTATTATAGACTTCTGTACAATCGGACTTATATCGGACTTATTTTGAGGAGTCGCCCCCTCCTGGTCAGTAGAGAGAATGCACGTTTTAAGACGCTTCCGCATTGGCTTCACTCTGCAGAACAGGAGGTTGCCGCCTGGTGGCCGGTCAGATTTGGTTTGTAATAAAACCCAATGCCGGGAGAGACAGTGGGCTGGTGGAGCAGTAGGTTTAACCTGTGTAACGGCAAATACAGCTGATCTGGCAGGTTGATCAGACCTCTGGAGCTGGAAGTCTCATACATACGTCATCACCTATGGAAGTTTTTATCGGAGACGATCCACAAATGTGCACCAAGATCAACAAATATTTCACTGATCCAGAAGCATGTGTTTGTATTCTTTATTTCTGTGGTGTAAAGTCACATCTAGAAAAATACAGAGCGGTTTGACAGCAGTGACAGGACCAAAATTGTGGAACTGACAAATAGATGTCAAACTCCATTCAAGTTGTTGAAAAGTGGAAACAGCAGCTAATGCGGTATGTTTCACAGATTCATTGTTTGTATTAATAACTGTTGACTATCCAAATGTTGGGGGAGACATTTCTTTATGTTCATGACAAAACATAAAACGTATGGAAGGGACATAAAACATGTTGTCTTCAGTCTAGTTGGTCGGTTTATTTTATGCTCCTTTGTTCAGATTTATTTAGTAGTTTTGTGTTTTTTTTTACTAGAATTAAATACTCCTAAATAATCACCAATAATGCCAATATAATGAGTTTACTGGTGAATCATGCTGCCGTGTGTAAACATCCTCTGAAAGATCATCTCTCCCACAACAGTTAGCGTCCATGAATATGTTACAAACGTCAATATTAGTGCTGAGAGCTTTCTGTCTCAAGCTGCAGCACGAGACACACTTTTGTAACAACATGGCTGTACCTCTGGAGCCACCCTCAGGCCTGGTGTGTAATATTGTCTCCTCAACACCAGCATGAGTATAGACGTTTGGATTGATTGTGTGTGGTGAAAGATACATTTCTGTTGGTCTTTCAAACCCAGAGTAATGCATGATTACTTCATGAAATAGCATGAAATTATTACACAAAACTAATAAGGATTTATGTGACAGATGTGGTAGCAGAATAGGTGCCTTTTAAATGCATCAAAAGTGTTTATAATCCGTCCAATGTGTCGTCTTATTTCCCAGAACTCAAGGATACGTGGAAATGCTTCAAATTGTATACGAATTGTATAAGAATCCATTCTTTGTTCTACAGAGTAATCCAGCTGACTCTGTGTAATCCGCTTGTTTAAAGAGGCGATGTAGTTGTAGCAGCTGCTTTAGCAACAATGCATTTTATGACTAGCTTCACATAACTCAACATCACCGACGTTAGGTGTCACACTGCATGTTAGTGTTTTATTGAATGCAACGCAAAACCATTGAAGTTGAATATGAGGGGAACCCCCGGATTCCCAAAGACACAAGCTGCCCTAAAACCAGCACTACAAAGGTGTGTACTCTTTGTGTTATGTGAGAATGTACTCGTTGACTGTTGTAGACTTGCAGACTAAATCATTTCAACATCTTCTAAATGAATGTGTAAGATATTTATAGTCTCGAAAACACTTGTAAGTTTCATCTTTTTGGACTATTCAAAAAAAGTTAGTTCTAAGAATTTTCTTTCTCTCTTTTGCTTAAGACTTGTTTGGGTGTGGTACAGGTGGACACAAGCTATGGATGACAGAATATGACTTAAGTTAAATAAATAAATGCATTAAAACATATATAAATAAATACAGAAATAAATGTATTTATTTATTGATGTTATTTTTCGTCCTCATAACAAACAGGACACTGCTGCTGAGGTCAATTAGTCAAAATATAGTACGTTCAAAACCAGAAGTCATAGTATAATACCTAGAAAAATATATTAAAAAGTAATCCTATAGTATGTCAACCAAGTCATAGAATTTGAAACAAATGGCACAAGTCAGAGTATGTAGTGTGTCAGAAAAGTCATTTTGTATATTAAAAAAAAGTCAAAGTATAGTATGTTGAAAAAAATCCTAGAAACGTAGTAGTATAGTAGGTTGAAAAGTCATACAATAGTCACAGTACCAGAAGTCTTAAATAGTCAAAAGTATTAGTTTAGTGGTTTGCAAAGTAAAAATAAAACTTCAAAGTATCGTCTGCCGAAAAGAGTCATGTATACATCACAGTCACATAATCCAAACTATAGTATGTTTAGAAAAAGTCATTAAAAAGTCGTAGTACATTATGTCTAAAAAGTGAAAGAGAAGTCATACTATAGTGTGTGATAAAAAAGATAAACATTATAGGATGTCAAAAAGTTACACATGAAAAATCATCTTTTTCGTGACCTTTCTTTTGACTTACTATACAACGATGTTTTTATAATTTTTTTCAACGTAATATACAAACTATAGTAAGTCTAAAAAGTCCAAAAGTAACCATTTATTGAAAAAAAAAGACGTAGTATAGTTCGTCAGAAAAGTCAAAGTATACTGTGAGGTAAAAAGTCAAACTGTATGTCTACATGTGCTACATAAAGATCGGGGACAGAATGACTAAAGTCACAGTATAGTACGTTGTAAAAAGCTCTTACAGTGGGTACGGAAAGTATTCAGACCCTTTTAAATTTTTCACTCTTTGTTTCATTGCAGCCATTTGTTAAAATCAAAAAAATTCATTTTATTTCTCATTAATGTACACTCAGCACCCCATCTTGGCAGAAAAAAACAGAAATGTAGAAATTTTTGCAAATTTATTAAAAAAGAAAAACTGAAATATCACATGGTCATAAGTACTCAGACCCTTTGCTCAGTATTGAGTAGAAGCACCCTTTTGAGCTAGTACAGCCATGAGTCTTCTTGGGAATGATGCAACAAGTTTTTCACACCTGGATTTGGGGATCCTCTGCTATTCTTCCTTGCAGATCCTCTCCAGTTCCGTCAGGTTGGATGGTGAACGTTGGTGGACAGCCATTTTCAGGTCTCTCCAGAGATGCTCAATTGGGTTTAGGTCAGGGCTCTGGCTGGGCCAGTCAAGAATCGTCACAGAGTTGTTCCGAAGCCACTCCTTTGTTATTTTAGCTGTGTGCTTGGGGTCATTGTCTTGTTGGAAGGTGAACCTTCGGCCCAGTCTGAGGTCCAGAGCACTCTGGAAGAGGTTTTCTTCCAGGATATCTCTGTACTTGGCCGCATTCATCTTTCCTTCAATTGCAACCAGTCGTCCTGTCCCTGCAGCTAGGAAACACCCCCATAGCATGATGCTGCCACCACCATGTTTCACTGTTGGGATTGTATTGGGCAGGTGATGAGCAGTGCCTGGTTTTCTCCACACATACCGCTTAGAATTAACGCCAAAAAGTTCAATCTTGGTCTCATCAGACCAGAGAATCTTATTTCTCATAGTCTGGGAGTCCATGTGTTTTTTGGCAAACTCTATGCGGGCTTTCATATGTCTTGCACTGAGGAGAGGCTTCCGTCGGGCCACTCTGCCATAAAGCCCCGACTGGTGGAGGGCTGCAGTGATAGTTGACTTTGTGGAACTTTCTCCCATCTCCCTACTGCATCTCTGGAGCTCAGCCACAGTGATCTTTGGGTTCTTCTTTACCTCTCTCACCAAGGCTCTTCTTCCACGATTGCTCAGTTTGGCTGGACGGCCAGGTCTAGGAAGAGTTCTGGTCGTCCCAAACTTCTTCCATTTAAGGATTATGGAGGCCACTGTGCTCTTAGGAACCTTGAGTGCTGCAGAAATTCTTTTGTAACCTTGGCCAGATCTGTGCCTTGCCACAATTCTGTCTCTGAGCTCCTTGGGCAGTTCCTTCGACCTCATGATTCTCATTTGCTATGACATGCACTGTGAGCTGTAAGGTCTTATATAGACAGGTGTGTGCCTTTCCTAATCAAGTCCAATCAGTTTAATTAAACACAGCTGGACTCCAATGAAGGAGTAGAACCAGAAGAAATGGACAGCATGTGAGTTAAATATGAGTGTCACAGCAAAGGGTCTGAATACTTGTGACATTTCAGTTTTTCTTTTTTAATAAATTTGCAAAGATTTCTACATTTCTGTTTTTTTCTGTGAAGATGGGGTGCTGAGTGTACATTAATGAGAAATAAAATGAACTTTTTTGATTTTAACAAATGGCTGCAATGAAACAGAGTGAAAAATTTAAAAGGGGTCTGAATACTTTCCATACCCACTGTTTGTCACAAAACATCCTAGTATGCTGCCCTAAGAATGTCACAGTACAGTACGTCATTAAAATGTCATATTCTATAACCTATAGGATTGTAGAAGTTGAGCAGAGCTACAGAGAACAAATCACACGTCTGTTTTAAAAAGAAACAACAAAGACAAACATCACTCTTTTACAGATACAAAAAACAGCTATCGTATTTGTCATCATATATTTTTTAATATCATCTCAATCCAAGTACATCTAATTCATAAATCTAATAGTCGTAGATCCAAACAACAGTGAAACATGTCAACAGATTAAAATGCAGTCGGTTCAGCTTTTCACCAGATGAACAGGAGCATGAGCCCGTTGTGGGCTCATGCTCCTCCATCCTCCCACCAGACACAGGACTCTTCTGAGAGACAGAAGCACAGCCGAGTATGATTCACTCATATTCCTTCATACATCTGGAGTCGGCCCACTCCTGGACAGATGTTTGGGACTGGGCTTATATGCATCTCAATATCCTTTTATGAATCATCAGGATACAGAAGAAAAAAAAAAACCACATCACAAAATGAAGGCACAGCCAAAGCAGAGTCATCATCTCGCTGAGTGCTGAGTTTTTGTTTGGAATGCTGACAGGAAGAATTCTTGTGGATGAGAGAACAAATATAATAAATATTGTTTTAAAAAAACAATATTTATCGTTGCTGGAAATTACTAAGTGCCATGCTATTTCTTTCACAAACTGTATTCTGAGCTCTGGTTACTGTGCAACCCAAACTGATTTAAAAAGGCCACTAATGAAAAGAATAAGCATGTATCAGACTTATGAATATCAACATCATTGTGCTTTATTACGCGTTAGTGTTTATTAGGATCACAGTGCTCCACTGGGTCTATAAAAGGACATCTTTAACAACAACAACATGTCAGCACTTGAATTATGTTTCCTCACGTTATAAAAAGGGGGGCGGGGTCTATCCGAGTATCATTAAGGTGACATTACAGGCACACACTTCAAGTAATTTCAAGTATGAAGGTATCATAAATCATAAATAAAAGTGCACAATGTCACGTCATTTCAAAGTAGTTCAAAACATTCTCTAGGAACCGTTCAAATGTCTTGGGACGTGATTGTGGAGGCCAGCATATGAGATGTAGCACTAGAATAAGAATTAAAACCTCCCCGTGTGAAAGGCTGTCTCAGGCAGAGGACGCTGCATCCCCAATGCTGCCGGACGTTCACCACAGAGAGGAAACACTTCATGGTTCTTGCATATAGAATTCCACATTTCAACAAATGAAATGTGGCTTTTATGTGAATTTATAAAAATATACACAATCTCAAATATATCTTCTGTTGGTAAAAAAAAATAATAAAACAAATCAAAATATGAAATAAATTCATATTCTATATGCTTTGGATAAGTCGAGGTATTCGAGTGTGATGGCAGACACGATGGACCGGTGCTGACGGGGTTTATTAAAAGGGCTCAGCGGACGGGGGAGCTCGTGGTCCGGACCGTTCAGCGGCTTCTTATCGGAGACTACACTGGGTCTACCTTGATTGTCTGACAAGTACCTCAAATACAACTCCAGAAAACTCTTAACCCTAACCCGAGATGCCTTGACTGTGTAAATGAGATGTAGGTAAACATCTGGATCATATGGACTCTGCCTAAACTGTAGAAAGCTCTTTGGAAACATGTCAGACTGGGTTTAGCCGTTACCAGCTTTAAGTAATAATAATAATTTCATCTAAATGACTCTTAAGTCACTTGTCTGTCGCCGAGGTTAGTGGATATTTTCACCATCACCAGCAGGCGGCGCTAACGAGCGGCTATTCGTGGTCTCTGCTCATGTTGCTAGTTTACGTTTTTCTGTGTCTGAACAAAGAGAAGAGCCACGACACTGAGCTAACAGAGAGAACACACCTGTGACTGCTCATGGCCACAGGGCGCCACTAATGAGTAGGAAAGGAATCTTGGAGATCGTGACTTTATCTAATGCAGAACAAACGCAGTGAGTCACGCGGGTCCATCGTGAAGAGCACAGACGGCACTGATGCAGAAACACAGTACACACACGTACGTACACACACACACACACACACACACACACACACAACACCTCTCTTCTTACAGTGACGATGGATGACTTCAAACGTTAAAATGACGATGGTCAAGAATTCTGGGATTCCAAAACACAGGACGACGACGATAATATTCAAACATACACACTATTAAGCAAATCAATCACATACTGGCACTGATGAGAAAAACTAAAAAAAAACACTACAAAAACACCAGCGATGACTGAATCATGTTTACCTTGAAATAGATCAAGTTCCTGCCTCATGGAGCTAAAGGTAGGTCTGTGTCACAGGCCCAACATGGCTCCTCTGTGTGCTTCAGACCAGTCACATCAGATGGCAGCAAGTAGACCTGTGGGCTGCTGGTGTACCGCTGACTCCATCGGATAGTCCGTTTGTGTTATTGTGCCACTTTGGTGATTCTGAATTAACCTTTGAAAACATCAAAGTCGCACAAAAGCACAAGCTAACCGATGGAGGCAGCGGTAACAATGTTGGTCTCTTCAAAGGAGTGTGGCGAGAACATAGATGGATACAACGGCCTTAGTTCCCTGTGAGAGATGGCATGATATTGTAAACACTCAAAACTAGTATTTCTTCTGCTGCTGCCTCCGTCCCCTGCAGGTCATCACTTTGTGGTAACTCCTGTCTGCTTCTCCAGTCAGGGGGAATGCAGTCGTCACCAACTGGAGGCACGACAAGTTTTAGAATGACTGCGCTCCATCTGCTTTAACTGCCACTGCAAGACGCCATCTTTGCTCTCATCTGAACACACACGGCTTTGCTTTCGTATTTAGACATCTATAGTAGCAGTTAGAAGGCGACTATGACTATGAACCGAGGCTATGTGAGTACACTACGCCATCACAGCACCGCCATGCCTCCCGTTCAGGTTCTGTCCCTCTTTTCTTTTTATATTATATTCTTTTAAAACATATTCTGGGATTTTATGGCTCCATCTTCTCTACAAAAATAACACATTTTTGTTTACATCATTTAAATCGTGTATCTCTTAATGACTACCTGATTCTTTTTTTTATTGTCAAACAGAAACATCTGGGTCCGGACACAGCGGGACAGCTCATTGTGCGTGAGAGCTACCCACTCTCGTTCACATCTGGACACATCCGGAGTGTCTAATGGAGATCGACTGACTCGGTTCTTCTTCTTTGACTGCTGCCAATTGGGCTTTCAGTGCACAGTTCCAGCCTGGCAGAAGTAAATTTCCCCCCCAAAAGATAAAAATGAAAGCGGGAGCAGGTACCAATAAAACACCTGTTCCCCATTAAAGTCCATAAGCCTTTTCTATAACCAGATTCAACTGATTTTGACATTGTAAAAAAACAGCCATACTTGGTGCTGCAGACCTTCTCCGTAGTGATGGTCATAGATGATCCTCCCCTGAGGAGCTGCAGTAGCTGGCAGCTTGTTTACAAGTAGAGGATCAGAAGACCGTCTCCTCAACCGTGTGACCCGCCAGCTGGCACGAGGGCAGAGCCGCCCTCGTCTCCAAGTCGTCCTCCTCCTCCGTCTGGGCTCGGTCGCTCTCCATCTCTTTGTCCTCGGTGACAGTGTCCTCTTTGCAGAGGGCTGCTCCGTTGCCGTCTTTCTTGGCCATCTGATAAGGCTGGATTTCTTTGGTCTGGTCAACAAGGATTCATTATTATGTGCTGCTGTTGAAAGCTCGGTTTTTTTTTATTATCAACAAACAAGGAAAAAAAACAGGCAAGGAAGAGTGTGGACACGAGGTTACCTTCTGAGGGGTGGACAGAGGAGTGACGCAGCAGAGCTTCTCCTTGTAGCGCTCGGGCAGGAAGAAGAGCAGCGTGCCCATGACTGGAAACACTGTGCCGGGGGTCAGATCCTTCTCCTTCATGGGTCCTAACATGTGGACAGAAACGCTTTTAAAGATGCGAGGAATCAAAAGGGGCAGTTTTCAATCAGTGTGGGCATCACATGAACTGTTCTTCCATCACTGGGCCCATAAGCACTGTATTTGGGACTTTCTGATTCAAGCAGTCACTAGCTTTTATTCTCGCGATTCCTACCGTGATGCAGAATGATTGAGGAGAGACTCCTTTCCCATTGCCAGAGTAGAGTAGCCTCTCTGTTTTTGTCTCTGGTGTGTCACATGGGACGTCACAAAAGTGAAACATTTTCAACATTTTCAAAAGTGAAAATGTTACGCTGGTGTTTTTAACAGCAATTTACACGTGTTACACAAAGTCCCACATGCTTCCTTCAAATAACCTTTTGTGCCTTTAAACACTGTTCCAGTTCTTATTCATCTGTTGAAATGCTTCAAAGGACACTTCAAATGTAAGTGCATAATGCCTGCTTTCTTCTTGCCACTTGTATGTATTTTTAAATGTACAGCACTTTGAGCCATAGTCTGTATGAAATGTGTGATACAAATAAAGAACATTATTTTTTCTTTATATCTGCTACTTTTTCAAACTCTCAAACCAGAGTTGGTGACTTTTTTTTTTTAACGGTGTTAAACTCACCAAGACGGTGTGATGAGTTTAATACGGTTGCTGTGGACTTTGAATGAAGTGTGTTTTACAATGATCAGTGAGGTAAATGGAGTGCGGCAGCTTTGAGGAGCGAATAGAACAGCTGTTTCCTTCACATTTAACTTGGTGAATTAAAGGCGCTTTGGGAGCAATTTCTATTGCCAACAAAGCAACGAACAGTTCTGATAACAGCACACACAGAGGGAGAGCGACTTCAGACCTCACTCCACTCTAACTTTACGTAGACAATAGTTGTTTGCTGCTTTATTAATGTTCTGAATGTTAAATACAGCTTTACACACACACACACACACACACACACACACACACACACACACACACATTTCCGCTGCTGAAAAGTGGGTGTACCTGTTAGCAGGCTGACCAGCAGTCCCACCACCACCACAGTGGTGGAGTTGTGAGCGCTGTACCACATGTAGGACAACGAGTAGAGCGCCTCCACACCCGATCGCCTGAAGGAAAGGGGGGGGGGAAGACAAAGTGGTGGTAAGACCTCATCTGCAGTCTACCTGTAGTGCTCAGTGGTCTTTAAGGTCAGTTCCTTGGTTCTCATGTGTTACCTTAGACTGGGTCTGGTGGCGTTGACCAGTGTAGTCATGACAGTGGCGGTCATGTTGTCAAACAGGGGCAGGGCGGTGGTGTTGAGCGGTGGCACTGGGATGGAATCGGACATACGCGTCAAAAAGCTCCCAATGCCGATCCAGAAGGCCATGGCGAGGCCTGCTACTAACCCCACCACTGCACCCTGAGGAGGTACAGATGTTTCAACCTCCACTCAAACATAGTGTGTAGAACATTCAATCACAAATCAAAATAAAACACTCACAGTCGAGTTTGCCCAGGGAAAGAACATCCCCAGACAGAAGAGGCCCAGCAGGGGACCACCCACCATCCCGAAGATGCTGAAGGCTGCCTGAGGGCAGAGGACACAACATTTCATAATGCGTCACTCTCACAATTAAATACATTTTCTTTATTTGCAACTCGGAGCATGTCAAGAGTTTGTTTACCTGCAGCACAGATCCCATGATAGAGGCGAGGTAGGCCATAGCCAGACACACCAGCCCATAGACCAGAGCTGTGGGGCAAAGAGACGACAAAGAAGCAGTGAGTGGTTACACCCGCTACAGGGTTACAGGCATTACACAGTGCACCTTTAAAGCAGCTGTCTTACCAAGTCCCTTGGATAGCAGCGTAGCTTTAGCCTCAGTCATGTTTGGAAAATAAGGTTTAATCAGGTCCTCCATGGTTACAGTTGCTAGGGAGTTAAAAGCTGACGAGATGGTGCTGGAGGGAGGAACAGAGATGGGATTGAATTGCACATTATGAAGCTCGTCTGTACAGCACAGATAGAACATGAAGACGGTAGTAAAGTTCAAAAACATGACTCAGCTTCATTCAACAGCAGACAATCCTCTTCTTTAAAACGGGTTCTCTTACCTGAGAGCTCCACTGAAGAGACAGGCCACAAACAGTCCTGCGAGCCCGGGCAGATCCTTGAAGACGTCCATCACAAAATACAGCACCATCTGTACAAAGCAGCTAAATATTAGCCGATAACCTCCGGAGCCAATACAGAAGAGATGGCACTGCATATACACCGACATCTGGGGAACCATGAAGGCAACTCAATGCTCACCTGGTCATTAGTTTTGACGTAGCCCTTGTCCAGAGGGCTGTCCTCTCCGTAGCGAGCAAACATGACGAGACCCATCAGGCAACCTAAACACAAGACAATCTGCTGGCACGGGAAAACTACGTAGCAGGACCTGGAAGGACAATAGAGGTGAGGGCAAACGAAAACACCGTCAACACTGGAGACAAGATGACAGACACCATAAAAAAGGTGCAGATGACAAGGAAAGTAACTATATAGATACTGAAGAATACTTAAGACAATAGTTACAAATTAACCCCCAGTTGGACTCGGTTCTACTTATCTCCGAAACGAGATTATGCATTCGATCGCTAATGCGCATGAGCTTGTGCATCTCTGTGTCCGTCTGTCTGTCCAAGGCTAATCTCGCATACTACTGGACCCAGTGGCCTAATATCTATAGTGCTCATCTATGACTGCATGCTCAAGGACCTCGTGGTTGCAGTGATTTACACATATTCTATGGATGCATCCAACTGGCTTCGCACATGACAAACTGAACCGAGCGCTGACTAGGACAAGGATTAGCCAAGTATGTTGTGAGACATTGACGATACTCACATGACGGCCTCTTTCTCCGTACGAGCACTAAGGTACCTCTGGACCTGGGCCTGGTTGACCCCGTACAGAGCCAACATCAGGAAGACTCCTCCCACACCCAGCGTCCAGAAGGTGTGGCGCTCCAGAGGGTCCGGGTTCAGGCTGCACGGGCAGAGAGTGAACACGGTATGATCAGCCCCTACCTTCATGCACTACAACATGCAAAGGTAATGAGGAAGACTTCATTCCACAACTCACTCCAGTCCAGAAATGCGGCTGCCATTAACTGCCTTCCTCCACACCTCTGCCATGCCCCCCGCCTGACTGGCCCCCACCACGATGACCGCCAGCTGGCCCGCAAACATCACCACTGTCTGGAACACATCGGTCCAGATCACCGCCTTCAGACCCCCCTGGGAAGGAGGAGCAGTGGATTCACTTTAAATTCTATAATAATCAACATCAAAAATCAGAGGCTTCACATACTGACAACACATGTAATGAGTGACATTTATGATCCTAGATTGACCAGAGATGATGCTAGGAAAAGAAATAAAGACATCAGAGAGGACAGAAATTGATGAAAGGAGGAGAATTTCCAGTCAAGTGCAGGTGTGACGTTTTGAGAAAAACTACAGTAACATCCTGAGCACTGCTAAGTTTTTCAAATGCTGTAGTCAACTAATGCATCACCGTAGTCATTGATGAAATGAACACTCACCAGAGCAGTATATAGAGTGCACACCAACCCCATGGCCAGCACCGCCCCCCACAGGTCAAAGCCTGTCACTGCAGAAGAACAGAGTAGAAGCATTACAAACCTCAGCACACTCAAGGGTTACTCAATCTTCTGATAACATCAGCAACTGTTGGCACCTGTGTGTGTAACAACGGTGTGATAATCCTGCGGTAAAATATGAGGAAATAATAAGTCTTACCTGCATTGAGTGCCAGGGCCGGGGCATACAGGACCACCCCCATGTAAATGACCTGCAGAGAAAGAGCAGAATAAACACTGCAGAACAGAAGAATCACAGAAACAGAGCTGAGCTCACACGGATCAGATTATACCTGCTCCACTGTGAAACGCACTGTGGTCGGCACTTTTACAAAATACATTTTGAGAGAGACAGAGGTTTGGATCTCACTGACCTCAAGATAGTTAAATAATACGACTGCGGACACAATTAACCCTTTCTACCCCAAAACCCGCCAGGAAGTTTGAAAGGCATGTTTTCTAAAATAAATAAATAATACAATATATTTAATTTGATTAAAAACAAATAGAAAAAAATGCCCGTAATCATACACAGAAACTGTAAAAACACAACTTGTCGCCAGATTATTTACATTCCTGATGGTCCTTGAACACATCATGTGTAAACAACAACACCAAATCTAAATCAATTTAGTCTACGTGTCTTGTTTAAATAACAGTCACATGACAAAAGTTCAGTGAAACTTGGACTGCATAGGTTGTTTACACAGAGCACAGCGTCGAGGACAGATGAGGTTGTAAACATGTAAATAGTTGTGTGTATGTAATATGTAATATGTACAGCACGTGGAACCTCAATGTTGGTAACACTTGTGGGCACTTAGAAAATGTTGGATATATCGAAGGCATTGCTTTCAAATGTTTGTAAAATAAAGAAAGAAATTCAACGTGTGTCGTTTTCTTTACAATGTGTGGCATTAAAAGACACTTTTGAGTTCTCCCTACTTTTCACCATCATTGGGCTGTTCCCACAGAGGTGCAAGACTGCAGCGACGAACAACCACGGTGAGTAAAATGTGACCGGAGCAGAAACATAACAAGCTCTCTAACTGTCTGCGGGTTCAGAGGGTTAAACTTTGTTTCACTAGGTCGTCTGCTGCTGATGTCATCAACTCGTGAACGCTGTTAATGCTTTTATTGGAGAAAATGTAGGCAACACAATCCCTAAGAGATATTTTACAAGGGTCAATGTGACATGTCCAAAGTTTTACTCAGGCTGTGATATAATCAGCCAATGAACACATTCTCAGATAGGACGATAAACAGCGACAGTGGAGATTTGTTATTGCTCATCTTCACTTAATGTTTCACTGCATCACCTGATGACTTTAGCTGCTTACTGAACTAAATTGTAAGTTGCTATTAAGTTATTATACATCATTTTCTTATAATAACAGTCTTTACTAAGTATCTGCTTCGGTGACGTGATACGCAGAGTGGCGGTCATTTTATCAAATCAGATCCCTGAAAGTGCTGCCATGACACGGCCCAGAAACTAATGTAAAAACAAAGTATGACGCAAACAAAGATACCATCTGAAAGATGAAGGTCACTGTCCCACATATGCGAACCGTCTTGTTGAAGCGCAGCTCCAGATACTGTCGAGGGGAGAGAATGTCAAAGGGAAAAAACAGAAGATTAGAAGTCATCGTGTGATACATGGTTATTAGACCCACATTGCCAAAGCGAGGGGCCGAGAGACTTACCTTAAAGTCAAAGGTTTCCTCAATAAAATCAGTTCTTAAGTTTCCTGCTGAAGGTTTCAGGCCAGGTTGGTGACTTAAGTATTGAAGGTTTTCTCCTTATCTTGGTCGTATACTTAAGGAATCCCTTAAAGTTAAAACACTTTAGCAAGGACACTCTGAAGGTACCTCTGACTCCATCTTAACTGCAGCAAGGCAGTAACCGTCTGCTTAACACCGTGCTGAATTCTCCGGCAAGACGGCCACTTCTTTAATGTTGCAGATGGACCCGACCTTCGCCACATTCAAGGTTTGCCGTTATTTGAGGATCACATTTACTTTTTATTGCAATCCTCTAGAAGGCTTATATTCTTTTCCTCCTCTGTCCAACTGGCTTTTCTTGTCTTCTGCCATTTATTTATTTTACTATCTATTGGCTAACTTTGTGAGGCTATAACAGGTATAGCAGTGCAAGCAAAGAAACCTCTCCTTGGAAATCTGTAGGATGTTACGGCTGTAGAATCTTAAAGCCTTGACGTTTTCCTGAGCTAAAGAAACCCTTAACTAAGGAGAAACCAAACCTTACGTGTCACACTTAAGGAGAAAACGTGAGGTGTTTTGTGTAACCGGCCCCTGGTTTATAAGTCACAAGTCATTATTTGTTCACAGGACATTAGTGCAGTAGTGTTCAGCTTATCTCATGGACCCAAGTACACTGATCGTTTGCCAGTCTGGCCGTCAATAAAGGCTGTGTGAAGATGTTCAGTCTTCAGACATTTGTTTCTGTTGAACGTTAACGCGCCATGGATAAGCAGATAAGAGCACAGATAACAATTTTAAGCCCAGCAATCATAGTCGAGAAAAAAAGAAGAAGTGAAAACTGCCGACAGAGGACAGATTCGTGTCAATTCTCGACTTGCGAGTACCTCGTAGGCGCTGGACAGCCGCAGTCGGTAGAGGACTGGTATGAAAACATGGGCCGGGATGAGCAGGCCCAAGAAGTAGGAGCAGCCCAGGAACCAGTACTGAGTCCCAAAGGTGTACACCTCAGAGGGAGCGCCCAGGATGGCCACGGCCGACTGGAAGGTGGCCAGCAGGGACAGAGACACGGGCAGGCAGCTCATGGAGCGATCAGCCATCAGGAACTCCTAGAAGAACAACACAATGTCTGTCAGATATTTCTAAAATAAAAAACACAAACAACACTGAGAGTAAGGGAAGCATTGTCAGGAAAGAGATGGAAGTCTACCTGTGTTGTGCGCTGGCGCCCACCGGAGAAGGCGTAGAAGAGGCCGATGCCGGCCGAGGCCACCAACAGCAAGGCAAAGATGACGTAGTCCGCTGTGGTGAAGTGCATGAGGACCACGTCCCCCATGATGGCAGTGGATGTGGCAGGGGAGGGAGGAGGGTGTCGGAAGAGGGAACGCTGCTGGAAGCACGGCCTCTGGGGCTGATCACGTTGTCAGAGAGAGCCCCTCGCCCATAGGGAGAGTCGCTGAGAGCTGCAGGGAGAACAACAAGTGAGGAGGTGGTACTGAAGCAGTAATACAACCTCCTTCAAGAGCGCTGCGTTTAAACGTATCACTGCCGGCTGTTCTGTAACGGAGGAATCACAGGAGTCTGTAAAATGTGTTCTTGCATTATTAAATCAACTGAAGCCAGAGACCCTTTATTGTTGAATTTAAAACCGGAGTTTTACACAAAATCAATTCGAAGTCAATTTAATTTATGTTGCCCGATATGATAAAAGTGCCTCAAGGGCTTTACTGCACACTGCACAGCGTACGATTCCCTCTGTGCTTTGAGCTCTTGTTCACATAACGTAGATTTTGGTGAAAAAGGAGGAAATGTTTTCACATAATATGAAATAGATAATAAAGAGGGAACTGTGGCCTGTTTAACGTGCTGACACCAGCTATAAGCAGCTTATAATACATCATTAAAAACTACTAATGACAAAATGTTATCAATAAAAAAAACAATCTGCTATTTCCAAATTATTTGAATGGTGTTTTTTTATGCAAATAAACATATAGACTATAACAAAGTAAAAGGATAACATTTGGAGTTTTGACGGTTTACACAGACTTTGGGGCAGCTGCAAAAGTAATTCGGGATAGTGGTGATAACTAAATTCTTGGAGACTTGTAAACCAGCTGCTACAACAAAACAACAACAAAAACAGTCGGTGTTGGCCGAAATGGCTCTTCCAAGATTGGCCATCGGTACCTGCTGCAAAGAAGCGGGATCTAAAAGTTATACATGTCCTTCCGTTACATTTTCCGCTGATCCGATCTGCGACATTATCAGAAGTGAGAGTTTCAGATTGCACCCTTTACCATAGCAGTACAACAGAAGCTTAACAGCACGTTTCTTTATCGCATTAGCTCGGAAACACACACACACACCCAGCCGTCAACATAATAAGGACGGCATTGTGTCTGAACTACAGCTGGACAAAAACCGCATTATTACTAACGGCAATGTCTAAGTTGACAAACACAACAACAGCACTTGGATATGACAAAGAAACAGCAAAGGACTTACTGTAGTCTGAGTCCACGCTGCTGCTGCTGCTGCTGCTGCTGCTGCTGGCTGACACACACTGGCCCCTCACACTGAAGGCTCACTGGAGAGGAGTATCTTTGTCACGATCACTGTAGAGGCAAGAGGAGAAATTCAGCTCAGCCATTCACCACACGCAAGAAATGCAGCGCCTGTCGCAATACTGTTACAAAGGTTTCAAGACCCAGCGCAATGTTCTCCAAAGAAACAGCGGTGTCTTCTCTTTTTGGGTCCGGATCATTTCAACCAAACAAAACCCAATCCCTCGCTATGTTTTGACAAGAGATGCACAACGCTGTTCTTTTACAGCGGTCACTTCGGGGGGGTATTTTTAGCTCCTCGCTGTGCTCATCTGAGGATATTCCACCTCACATGAGAGCGTCTTCTCCTTCACAGCGTGTTGTTTGGCTGCGGCCTCCAACACTACTTGTGATTGACGTGATCTCGGCACCGCCTCCGAGTACAGCTATTTCTTCTAGCTGGAGCGCTGTGGTTGTTGCCATGTTGGCATCGTCTTCTACAGGTCAGTATTACAATATTTTTTACAAGTATCAGAATCGGTATGTTTTTAAATCTGCGCACTCTATGTGTGACCTTGTGAGTAAAAACTCTCACACCAAGCTGAAATGAAATAAAAGTGCACACAACATGGGTAAATTAAGCAGCGGAAAGTTTTGGTGTCACGTCTAATGTGAGATTACGATCACTGCGTCGGTAGCGTTCTGTACCGACAGGCCCGTCTGTTCGATGCTCCGTGCTGCAGTGATCAAGCACTGGCCGAGACCAATGACTGCGTTAAGTCCTCTTATCATTACGGCTTATTATGGCTAATCTACCACGCTGTATGACAGGTCGGGAACAGAAGACACTGCCAGTTGAAACTGGTTCAATTTCAACAGCACCCATCAGGTGGGTGTTTTAACAGATAGACTGTAGCTCTTTAACTAATGTTTAAGCCAGGAAGCACAATGAATGCGTCACTTTGCACGTGCTATTTCAAGGCCCGCTGAGAATACATATCCAGCGGTATTTAAAAATCAACCATTTGCTGCAGTGCTTGTTGATTAGGCATGTCTGGAGTCTGTATGGTGCACACCTTGTTCTGCCATTTCACACGAGACTTTGCTCCTGCCGAGAGTTACGGGATCAGAGCCAACGGCCTTTTGTTGCAAACCCCTACTGTTTGGATGCCAGTCTAAAAATGGGCTTCATGCATTAAAACCCGACAGGTTTACATAAGGGCCCTTTGATTAAAATCCTGCAGTGCATAAAGCAAGAAGCCCAGTGGTTTCACAGTGAAACCAGAGGTACATGCCATCTCAGGACTCAACTGGTTCTGGCTGTTTTGTAAGGATTTGTTTCCTCAAAGCTTTTTTTAATCTGTTCCCATTAAAACAGAGCCAAAAATCCCAGCATGCAAAAAATTGACGGCAAAGTTTTTTTTTCATTTGGTGAAATGCAAATGAAATTTGTCTTCACAACCGTTCTTCCTCACAGTCAGACCTCAGCCCAACTGACCTTTACAGTTCTAAATGGTATCGCCTACTGTCTCTGAAAAAATAAAATTCATCCATTTTCAACCTCACCTCCACCTATCCACCTTAGGTACCGTACATGGTGTGAAAAGCAGCAGCAGTGGTTACTGATATTCTCTGTGTCTCTGGGGTGCAGATGTAAAATGTGTTCTTCCTCACCACAGTGACGTACTCGGTATGAGGAAGAACTACAGAGGACTTTAACAGCTGAGGGGCAGAATGCCACCCAAACGCCCTTGTTCTCGTTGCTGGTAAAATGGCGTCCAGTATGCTATATTTAAGATTCATTTCGACCAAACCACAGTTGCCGGATTGTTGGAACAGATGAAAAAAGAATAACTGTTTCTCTCCAGTTTGAAGGAAGTGGGATTTACAATTAGTCTAGAATTAGAATCTCTATCACTGAACTAAGACAAACGTGAATAGAAGGTATACGGTTGGATTTTTGTCTGAATATTTCCCTCATTGCTTTGTGAGGTTTTTTTTGCTAATCTATCAGCCTTTGCGCAATGCATCCTGGTACATGTAGGCAAAGCTGACACGCCACCCGCAGCAGGAGAAATCAGTATCTCGAACAACACAGCAGATAGTGGACACCTGTGAATGTATACATTTAAATTGTAAAGATATATCTGGTGTAATCCCACATGGGCACACTGCCCCCACAGGCTACTGAAACGGCTCGCTGAAAAGGACAGTACTTAAGAATGTACAATACAAAAGAACATGGCTCACAGCAAACAATTTGCTTCTGCACCAATTGGCCAACTACAACCGTGTCTTTCCCCCGCACGAGTGTACAAAGCGGTGCCGCGCGTTAATCGCTCACATCCAACACTATCCCGCCGCCTCGGCCCCAGGATCCAACCGACATTTAGACCTTTTTCTGTTGAGTGAGGTAAAGGTGCAGTCCTTTTGCTTGTGTGTGCAGCACTGACTGTGTTTTTGGCCAGGCTGTGTGTTAGTTAAGTGGTGGTGGAGGTGGTGGGGCTGTCACGAGCATCGCAAATCACACAAGGAGGTGAGGGAGGCTGCGGTTGCCTGGCAACACAGGGACAATGATTGCGTGTTACACGAGGTAGTGCGAGCTGAGCCGATGGCACCAGCGCTTTCACCCCTACTCCCCCGTCTAGTGTGTAACTGGTGGAAAAATAGAAGACCTGCTGTTTGATGGGGGGTCAGGTAGAGCATGGGAAGCTTTGCAGCTGCACGGGACAGACTGCTATTATCAAGGTGGTTCAAAGCAGACCGCACATTTTCAACCCCCTCATCAGACAACCAGCACGAGCTCTGCATTTAATGTACTGAGTGCGAGCACTCAGTGTGAATATCAACAGGGATTAAAGGGACCAACTAGAGATACCCTTCTAATTGTCCTTGACAGGAAGCTACAGAACCAGTGTTATTGTGCATCAGTCAGGGTGAAAACATTCGTCTCAATCCAAGGTTAAACACGGTCATTTTAGCCGAGAGGACTCTAGCCATCCATTACTCTTCATCCTGAAAGTTTAAATGAAAAATGCAGTTTGACAACACTTCCAATAAAGCATAAATCTCACCAGTTTGCTAGTGGAAGTTTGTTTTTGAGCGTGGAATGGGCCCACCGTGGCTCACTATAACTGTAGAGGTACCAGCGGGACGTCTTTCTGTCCTCCAGCCTCAGTGGGCAGCAATGAAAAACAATAACACTCTGCAGTGCCCTTTGAGGAGCAACACAGAAAGGTGAGATCTCTCTCAGAGGTGTTTTCAGTCTGTATTTTGGGGATTTACAGGAGACAAATAGGTTGTTTAGACGATGTATGCACTTGGTCAGTCTTTAGCCTATAGATTCCTAATAGTTTATTACAGTCCTTTTCCTCCAGGGATTATAGTCATTCTTCTTCTCTGAAGGTTTAAAGCTTAAACAGGTCAAAGCAAAAGGTAAATATTGGCTTTAAACAGGACAGCATTAGGTTATAGTCAGGGAATGACTGTTAGACGTAGGCCTATTGTCTGAAAGGTCAGGTGGATGAGACATGGGCAGTAAATACTCTCTTTAGGAACACTTGGAGGTTATTGCAAAGATATTCTGGAATACACTGGCTATTGTCTGAAGATGATTTAACTTTGTATTGGTTTAAAATGAGCTTGGAAGACAGCTACTTTGGGCTACAATCCGGTTGTTCACATAGTCCCTCATCTCCAGTCTCGCATCCCAAGTTGCGACTGGGAAAGAGGTTGGTCCGGATCCGCTGGCTACACTGGAACCCCCAAAAATAAAGCTCCTTGCTCCCAGAGACGTATCCGTCGACAGACCGATAGCTGGTGGGTTCCCGAGATTGGTGAAATTGAATGCACACCAACATATTTTCAGAAAAACACAGGGGTGTACGGTGATCCCCATGCTACTAACTACATACATGTGTGTGCGCTCTGCATGCTTACATACGGGCTCAGCTGGTCTAATGCGAGTAATCATTAAACCCTTCAGCTGAACCCTGACCTGCTTCGTGAAATAACTCTACAGCACACGCTGTGAGGCGAGAGGTAGACAAGTGAGATGCATCGCATTTTGTTTCCACAAGCACCGAGATTAAGTGCTGCTGACAAGTGAAACACAAAACTGCCACCGCTGATTAATGCGTTATCAGTTCTAAAAAAGCTAGTGTTGTGAATGAAGATATGCGCGAGGCTGTTCCACTGAAGGCTGAGGATACCGAGCGAAATAAGTGACTCGACACAATGCGTTAGTCTTTTGTGACAATTGTTAACGAGACACCAGATAACACTAAAACAGGAGATTGGTGTGTAATCATTAGCCTGCAGAAGGTGCGGGAGTTCCTCACAGCAGATAACTGGAAGTCATCTTGAGCCTCGCCAGATGATCTGGGTAAATACACAAAACACTTCAAGTGGATCTGTGTGTGTGTGTGTCAGTAAATTTGGTCAGTGACAACCTAAAGTAGTGTTAAAATAACTGCCTTTTATTCAAATGCTGCAAACAGGACCGTGCGCCCTGAAATACATTCGTCATCTAACCTGATGTCGCTTTATTATCGAAACATCTTCCAAAATTTGTCCTGCGTCCCGAGACGTACACCGTTCCACATAAATACAAACACGACATTTAACCAAACAACAAAATCGGAATACCAACATAAAACAGCACCTCACATTGCGAAAATAAAGTGTCTGCATCGCTCCTTTTTTTACAGTCAGTGTTCCGTTGGTACAGTGAGGCCTACTTAGAACCCAAACTCTGATTTCACAGTTTGACAGACTGAGGAACAGAAGACTTCAGTCGAGCCTGTGGGACTCTAAATCGTCTGAGTGATGGCAAATGCTGATATTCTTCAAATAAAATGTGTAACGGGTCTGATGTAATACAACCAGCCAAACAACTTTTTATGTTTTGTTTTTTTAATGGTAAGCCGTTTTGACATTTAAAAGCTGGACTAATGCAGAAGTTCTTCCTGGTCAAAATGAACAGACATCCACGGCATGACTCATACTAGAAAAAATGGCGTCACTCAAATTTCTGATATTTACAATCAAATTGTTATTACTCATAATCTTAATTTCAGATATCCAAAATGAAAAAAACATTCCAGATATTCATAATAATATTATGACTATCCAAAATACACTGACTGGTAAAAATATTATTACAGATATCTGCAATTGGCATTACGACTAGGCCGCGTAAATGTGAAACTCCAGATATCTACTATCAGAATTATGACTAGAAACAATGCATTTGTATTATAGATAGCTGTTCTAGGTATCCAAAAAGATAATAATATGCCAAAGTGGCTCACTCCAGTTATGACTAGTAACAATCGGATTGTAAATATCTGAAATGGGAGTTTTAAATAGTAAAAATGCCATTGCAGATATCCGGCATGACATTCTGATCATCAAAAATGCAACTATGGATATCTAAAATTGAAAGCCCAATACACATCAATGGCAAACGTGATGTCATCTGTTCTCTTAAGTAAGTTATCGTGCGTATCCGAGATGTTCTTTTTGACTTGGAAGTCTTAAATTACAGATATCTGCAATATAAATACAGTGTAGCTCTTAAATGTCAAAGGGCCACATGTACTTTGAGGATATCTTAAATGTAGTTTTGACTAGCACAATCAAAGCTGTAGACATCTAGAAAATACAATTTCTACTAGTACGAATGTTATTGTGGCTTTCCTTAAATCACCATTCTGACAAGGAGAAGTGCTATTATGGATATCTAAAATGTAATCACGGATATTAATGTGGTTCAATTAAACGTTAAAACATTTAGTATATACGCAGTTTGAAAACTTGACCAGTGAAGTGTTTGACCCACAACCTTTGAGCAGATCCGTACACAGCAGCCGAGCCAATCCAGCTTTAAGCTGAACAGAGAGACAACCGTACCGTGCACCGATTCCACGCTGCATACCACTTTGTATCACGGACTGGAAATGGGTCTCGATTCACGAACGGGAAGAAGCAGCCAATAAGAGGGCCTTATAACTATGTGGGGCTGGGGAATGTGGCCGGATTGTAGCCAATAGTCTTTGGAGTGTGGCTTGGGAAAAGGCTTGAATGAAATAAGTTTCAGACATCCAGTGCCTCTATTCATTCTCCATTAACAACATCTGTGTCGCTCCTTATTACACTGATGCAAAAAAACAAAAAACCAGAGGAACTGAAGGGACACCTCAACCAATCATAGAGCTCTATTTTGGATATGACTAACCTTACTGGCGCTTATCGAAATGCAGCAACCTGATATGCATTTTCAATGGTGACCTTATAAAATGTTTTTAAATAACTATAACCAACTGGAGGGGTAGTTTATACTAATTTAGCAAAAATAAATAAATACAAATGTTTTAGTGTTGACTCTATACACTGTAGTAAATATTCCCCACGTAATTAACGTTCGTATTTAATTGTTATTTCACAGACACATTACAACTATTCTATTAGATAGTTAAGTCTTCAGAATATGACCTCGTCAGGAAGGCTCATCAAAGAGTCATTCTTCTTCTTCACGAAGAAACAGGTTCATTCAAACCATAAGCTACATACCGGCTTTACACGGGAAGCAGCCAAAAGATATTGGGTCATGCGTCAACATCATTCACGAATAAAAGCCCTCCAACGCTACGTGTAAAGATACACAATTCGTGCATAACGTTGTTATAAGAACATATTCCTATTTTTAAAGCAATGTGAACATTAGAGACAGACCTGCTGCCGACTCGGCTAATTAGCCCCACCCGCTCCGACATGTCATTCATTTCAGCTGTGCGAGCTAGCCAAAATCGCTAACATCGCTGCTGAGCGGTTTGGTGCAGTTCACGTAACGAGACGGTACAACAGCCGTTTCGTTACAAACATCTCCCCATTACAACCAGAAAGAACCGGCACACGAACACGTTTTGGCATTTAACGTTAACCAACTACGCGCCCCCATGGTCTTGTTGCCCAATCCAAACTTTCTTCTGCCACCGCGTGCGCCGAATGAATGACTACCCGGTATTCTCCGAGCCTTCGGTGACAACGACACGCATGCAACGCTATTTAATCCCATTCATATGATTAAATAAATAGGTAAATTGGTTTTACCTTTGACCACCTGATGCTGCCAAACCGCTGAAGCTACATTGCATCCCTTCGCTTGCATCTGCTCGTGAGCGGCGCTCGTGGGGTCAGGCGGTGACGGACCGCCCATTCTCCTTGACACTAGATTGGCTGCTGCCCTCACGTGCTCCTCGTAAACTACAAACTCGCCACAGTAAAAACGAATTTGTGCCAACAGTTGTGTAAAACGTTGCCGTACGTGTAGCGTTTCAATAGTTATATAGACACTTACAGTCTATGTAATATATATGTTTAGTAGTGGCGCTTTTATTCAGCTCTCATTCGTCACATTTTCAATAGTTTCGACCTTTCGGATTTTTTATGAAGGCAGCACAACTCGTGCTCTGGCAGTCCGAAATATATTTAATTATATCGATTTGTGGGGACAAGTTTTTCCTATCAGTAGGACAAAAATAAAACGGAACTCAATTCTAAATAAATTGACAGTGTAACGCGCATGGCAGCCGTGTTTCCCGTTGACATTTAGTTTCGTGCATGTTGTGAAACAGGATGACACCCTTCTCGCTGTATACACACACATGTAGTCTATGGATGACAGGACCCGGTTCAACGTATTCATTGAACCGGCGTCAATCCCTGCGCTGAGGGAAGGACAAATAAATCATCATCGTGGTAATTAATCACCATGGCAATGGTCGCTGATTGATTTTTTATTTTATTTTGATGACAGTATGCGTCACTCACCCCGGATGACACCGAACACGGTTGCCTCGTTTCTTACCGGTTTTCAACGATTGCAAAGTGAGCTCACTACATCCATCACCGCGCGCACTCGTATCGGGTTGAGGGGAACACATCTGCGACATCCTCCATTTCTCCCAGTGCGCACTCGATGAAAGCGCAGCTGCATAGGTTTCCCCCCCTCTCCTCCTAGGCTGGTGACTCATGCGTCTCCTTGAATTAATAGTAACAGTGTAACACACCTGGGGGTGTTAAGTTTCCTGTGGAAAGCAGTGAAAGCACCTTGTTGTAATTTCTACATCTCATGTGTAAAAAAAAAAAATCATTTTTTTTGAAAATTTATTGTAAAATAAAAATTAAAAATAAAAGTATCAACTGTGAATAATAAATCCATGTCAAACTGATTTTAAAAGACATGTTTCCACACAGAACACTACTGAATGTAGTGAATGAATCAGCTGTAGGTGGGCATGGGGCTCCTGCATGCATGCAGGATGACCCATCCCTAATTACTCAATGACTGTGATATTATACCAGCACAGTGCTGATCCGCTCCTCTGACAAACTGAGGAATAACACGCGTCGCAAGTAAGCACCCTTTAAAAAGGAATACTTCAACCAAAAACAAACAAAAAAAAAAAAAAAACATACATTTGTACATCAAACTACTCACACTGTCACCTTGAATTCTTCTCTGTGGAGGTAGGTGAGAACACAGTAACTGATATACAAACATATTTTGTGGGGGAAGTTTTCCTTTTAACAGACAATATCTTTTCAAAATATTATTTTTCACCAAACAGCTTCCATCAGTCCGTAGTCAGGGGCACTACATGGTATACATTATTTTTTAAACGGAAGTTAATGAGACTCCACTTCAGGTCCTTCTGCTCCCAGCTTGTAACCACAACAGAAACACGTGTATTAAATACGACTGTGGGTGAAACCGTGAGCTTCTCTGCTAAAGGAACAACAACAAAAAGGAATATTTTGTTGTTGGCGTTTGCTCCTCAAGCATCCTCATAGCGCCCGAGTGTCCGCCCTGCGGCGCTCCTCCCTCAGTTCTGCTGCCGGATGATGGCGTTAATGCCCGTGTTGCGAAATCCGGGGTTCCCCAGGTCCTTCAGGAGCCCGGCCTTGTCCTTGGCGGCGTGGCGAGCCACCGACAGCCTGAAGGGCAACAGGAAGTTGTTGGCGGCCCGGAAACCCTTGCCGACTGCGTAGATCTCGTGTATGAGGTCCTCCAGGCAGATGATGCCGTATTTACCTGAGAGACGGGGGAGGTGATGGGAAACAGGTGTCAAACCGGGCAGACGTTCTGTTAAATTTACAACTGGCACTGTGAGAAAACGCCGTCTGCCTTATTTATGCAACTCATAAATTCAGTGACAGTGGACCTACACTACTACGCTTACATCCCAACACAAGGAAATGGAAAACAGCAACAAGCGGATTATTTTAAATCATTAATTTTAGTGTTTCATGTCGTCTCAATGAGGTTCCGCAAAAGGAGCACATGACTCATCGATCTACATGCCAGGAGGAATGACCGACATCTGAGTTCTTCATTCTTTCTAAACTTCACTCAGAAATGGGATTTATTTTATAAACATTTTAGATTTGTTTTTCCAGTGAGATATTTAGGACTTTATAGTGACTTTGCTGTTGAAAACATTACCGTTGCCGCTCTAGGAACAGTATTTAGTTATATTTAAAATATAAATAAATTATAATCCTGTTCTAATTAAGCCGGATCCAAATTCAGTGCAACTCAACCTTTTGTAAAGGAATTTGTTCATTCAAATAAACCTTCGATAATGTTAACACTTGAACACACTGCTCCCCTCCGTTACATCTACAGGATCTACTTTTCCTAACAAACAATTCAGGTAACATGCAGTCTGCCAATTCATGCACAGCAACCCCCCCCCGCCCCCTCCATAACACACAGTATGTGCCCTCCCGTCACGTTTTCCACCTTGTAAATACTTCAGATCATAATTAATAAGCTTGGTAAATAGATTTCTTTATTCCTAGCAAATGTTAATCTGGGACACGCATTCTTTCTGGTCGGTGCGTTATAGAGAGGGGGATACCGGTAGAAAACGTAGCATCCTGCTCGTACTTTTGGCTAGGAGAGAAGTAACTTCTTCATATTCACCAAGGATGAGCTGAAGTATATACAGAATGAAATATTATGACTGTGAGGCTTCTTGATTATGACACTGACCTTAATTCTTTTTGACATGGTTTAATTAAACGTTACTTGTACTATATGTTCAAAAAAGTGTATATATCGGTGAGTCATTCTGCATTTAAACACCTACAACAGTGTGAAAATGTGTGCCGGAGGCCGATGGCACACGCTTGCTTTGGATTGACCGTTGAGGCTTCAGCCGGACGCGACACCGTGGGGGAGACTCACCCATGTGCTGCTCGATGAAGTTGTTGTCGGTGAGGGGGACCCTCCTCCTGCCGATCCTGGTCTGTCCCCTCTTCAGGATGAGCTCGCGGACGGACTTCAAGTTGGGGAATCTGGTCGGAAGCGTTGCCTTTAGAACACGCGGTAACAAACGTAACAGAGTTGGATCCGAGCTAAAGCTACTCACCCCCAGGCCACGTAGGGCTCCACCACCTTCATCATGGCCATGGAGGCCTTGTTGATTTTGACGAAGGCCCCGCTGAAGATCTTCCTCAGCCTCAGCATCTGGACCACCTTCATCACTTTGGGGCTGACGCCTTTGATCCTAGCGGGAGAGAGGACGAGCCGTGTTGACCGGACTGGAAACGGTGTTTTCATTATGTACACGTTTAAACGACCACAGCCGGGTGTTTCATTCACCGGAGCGCACAACATCCGATGTTATCAAAGTAACAGCTCTCCATCTCAGACCTGGACGAGTTTTAGATGTGTAGACCGCAAGATGGTCCTTAGGGGAGATCTCCTCCATTCAGGTAAGTTCAGGGATGTCCCGATCCTCAAAGATCAGTATCAGTGTATTTTTAACAAATCGATCAGCAGACGATCGAAACCAGACGTCTTTTTATAGCCGATAGGCCATCTGTCTCATAGTTCAGATTATTATGACCAATGAGATTGGGTTTTAAGAGCCAAAGAGATTACAGCAAGGGTTTGTTCATTTATAAGCAGGGGTGACATATTTTTGTAGGCCAACCCGTGAAGCATCACACTGGTACCCTTGACAAAAAGCCAATGGGATTTCTCCATTGGATTTTTGCAGAAAATAAACTGCGTGACAAACAAACGTTTATGATACTCGCACATTTTATTCAGCAAGTTAATCTTTCACAAATGAACACCACTTTTTACGATTTTTTTAAAGCGCAAATGCAATCGGCAGGAGTAAAAAAGCTAACGTTGCTGTAAAGCAACAACACCTCGCTGGCACGAGGGTGAGAAAAACAACAAGGCGGTGAAGGTGAAATAGTCGGCGTGATGACGATTAGCAGCCTCATTTAGCCAAATTTTAGCAACCCCCTTTAAGACACGTGAAAGCTTCAAAATTGAAGAGTGGGGCATTCCCATTACATGTTTATATTGTAGAACAAAACATTAAAATCTCTTCAGCTTGTGTTAACTAGACCTTATTTCAGGCATCCAATCAAAACACTCATTGAATTTCAGACGGACATTTTTCCCCCATTAAAGGGGTGTTTTTGTTGAGTTTCCTTTTCTGATGCAAGGTTAGTTAAGTCCTCTGTGTCAAAATGGTGATACTTGGCTAAATAAATAAAAATGGAATTGAGTAGATTGTCTTGATGCCAGTAGCCTTGTTTTGGAGAATCGGGCGTAGAGACACGCTCCTTTTCGGGTGAATTGTCCCTTTAAAAACAAGCTGATTTTAACCTTGCTTCCTTTATCAGCACTCAATGCTAATAAAGGAACATTTAAAAAACAGGCGAGGAAGTAAAATGTCTTTCACACTTTTGAGGAAAACATGGCAATGCAATCCCAACTAATGTCACCGGGTGCTCTGTACCTAAAATTTTTGGAAATTGTCAGTGATCTACAGGACGTATTGAAGACCTTTTTCAGCCTTTGATGAATTCCCATGCAGCCCACCCCTTTATACAGCCATGACTATAGAGAGAGACATTGTGCTCCAATCACCCTTCTGAGTCAAATCACTCACTCTCTGATGCGGACGGCAAAGGCCAGCTTGCTCTTGGCAGGAGGCAGAGGGGCCGGCGGCCTGTGCTGTGATCTTTCGATGCGGGTGTCATCGCGGTGCCTCCTGTGGCTGGCTTTCAAGAAGTCTTCCAAACGCTTGAACTTCAACGGTTTGCCTTTAGATACCTGGAACCACACAGAAATACACGTGTAGCTGAATAGACTGCAGGATTTAAGTGCACATTGAACACCTGTATTTGACCTCCTAACACTCAGTGATCACTTACCTTTCTCTTCTCAAGCAGCGCGAGTTTGGCTTGCGTGGCTTTGATGGCCTGGTACGCTTTCCTCTTCTTCAGGAGATACTCGGGTACCAGCTTGATCACTTTCTTTGATCTGATAACAGGAGCACACACACAGAAGCGTTTCAGAACCAGTCCAGCTAGAGGCTAGGGCTCATCGTGCTAATGTAGCATTGGTCAGAGTAACAGTGCGTCTCAGTCCAGACAGAACCGATTAGCAGCTCCGGTTTTCCGGTTTAGTGTTGGTAACTTTGCTCCGTGAATATGTCACCGAAAAAGTGAACAGAAGACACAACTGTCATTTCAATTGCACACAACTAGTGCCAAATATTGGCGCTGCATTGCGCGAGCTGTGGCTACATCTCCGTAATGTACACTCGGACCCATGTGAAACCAAGCCCGCTAGAAACAGCCTTTTCTCACCATCAGACCGATAAATATTAGTCTCGGTAGAATCGGTAATATGTATAATTGTTACAGAGACGTTAAACATAACAACTACATGAAGAGAAAGAACGGATGGACTTAGATATGATACAAAAAAACATTCACATACTCAGCTTCAGTTTCGGCCATGGTGAAATCGGGAGACTCAAGCGTCGCTCGGATGACGTCACAGCCCACGCTTGTTTTATTTCCGGCCGACTGTACGGGCTTACACTACTGCCACCAAGCGGTCAATAACAGACATACTATTTACTAGTATTGTGAAAGTGCTCATGTCCAATATAACCTTTTCATAATTTGTTCATATATCTATTCCAATAATTTCTTAAGACCCATTTTTACAAACTGGCATTTTAGTGGTGTTGTCTTTTTAGTGCGTTACTGCTTTATTTTATTGTTGTTATTATTTAATTACATTTATATGTATTTCATTTCTTAGTTTGTTCTTAAAGTAATAATTGGTTTTATTGTTTTATCTATTGTACTGTTTTATTAGGGTTTAACTCTTATCTTAGTTTGTCTGGCTTTGTTGGGCCTCACTGTTGTGCTTTCTGTTGTTTTTATTGCATTGCTTTTGCCCTGCTTTGTCTGTCAAAGCACTTTGTAAACTCTGGCTTTAAATGTGCTATATACATAAAGTTATTATTTACTATTTGTCAACAGCGCAATATAGGTATATGTACATACAATATGCAAAGAATACCAAAATGTATGAAAATATTTGTTAACCCCTGAAATACATTATTCTCCAGGCAAATATGTATCTACACATGCAGACTGAGTCCATCAAAGTTCAAAATTCAAAGGTAGCTTCATTGTCAGTTCCACAATATGTACCGAACATACCGAGGAGTTGAAAAAACGTTTCTCTCCAGTCCAACATATAAACATATAAAGTGAATACAGTGCAAATAGATAAAAAAACATTTAGACAACATATAATTTAGCAGCAGTCGGACATAGAGTCTTAAAAGAGAATAGGGAGAGAGTTCAGCTTCCTAACAGCCTGGTGGACGAAGCTGTTTGAGAGTCTGGTGGTTCGAGCACGGAGGCTCCGGTATCTTCTCCCAGAGGGCAGGAGACTGTGTGAGGGGTGGCTGGAGTTGTGCACAATCATGGTCACTTTGCGGGTGAGGCGAGTGTCATATATGTCCTGCAGGGAGGGGAGTGAAGGGAGTGAGGCACCAATGATCCTTCCAGCTGTGTTCACTATGCGCTGCAGGGCTTTCCTGTTGTAGTCAGTGCAGCTTCCGCCCCACACAGTGATACAGTTTGTCAGGATGCTCTCAATGGTGCCTCGGTAAAAGGTGCACAGGATGGGTGGTGGTGTTCTTGCCTTCTTCAGTTTGCGGAGAAAGTAGAGGCGCCTCTGAGCTTTCTTTGCCAGTGATGTTGTGTTGGCTGTCCACGAGAGGTCCTCACTGATGTCCACCCCCAGGAATTTGGTGCTGCTCATTCTCTCTATATCAGCACCATTGATGGTCAGTGGTGGGTGTTGAGTGTGGCCTCTCCGGAAGTCAACAATAATCTCCTTGGTCTTGCTGTTATTCAGAAGGAGGTTGTTGTCTCTGCACCATTAGCTTAAGCTTAAGCGCCACAATGAGGTTCAAGTTTGTGATTATGGAGAAGAATCTTATATTCACAGATGCGTTGATTTAGTCTTTTATTTAAAGCCTAGAGACTATATATAAAGACATTATCTAAGAAGCTACACGTTGTTCATCTGATGTGACTATAAATGGCCTTTAAATGACAGCAGAAAGGAATGTGATCCCCTCAGTCTGCACCTTAACCTCGTTAGTCATTCCCCCCCTCACATTTAATGTGCTGCAGTACAGAGGCAACGCAACCAAAATGTGTCACCGTCCTTCAACTTAAAGGGACAGTTTGTACTTTTTAAAGATTTGTTGTAGAGGTTACTATTCACAGTATCACCTACAGTAGATGACGGAGGGGCTTATCCTTGTGACGTAAAAGTACATTATTTTACTAAATCCAAGAAATTTTGTAATATATTTGTTCATACAGCGTATTTCTTTAGCACATGTATTTATTTATGTACATGAGGAAGGAAAGCTGTGTTGAACAGCAGTAACAGGCTAAACGAAAAGGTGAAGTCTTGCAGGCTACATGGCACGCCCACTTTACAACAAGACATGCCCCCTGATCTAACTTCCCCGATGCTTATTTGAACCCAAACCATGATGTTCTCTCAAAACCTGAACAAAGTAGTTTTGGCGGCTAAACATTTTGGTGCCCAAATATAACCGACCGTTTGGAGGGCGAGCCATGTCGTGTTCTGTAGTACGGTTTGACCTACTTGGATGTGAATGAGAGAAGACGATGCCAACCTCTAGACCAGGGGTCTTCAATGTTTGGAGGGCCAAGGACCCCCAAACTGATAGGGAGATGGAGCAGGGACCCCCGACTATATATATTGTATACAATTGTGTTTTATATTAAATGGGCCTAGTACGGTGTATACCTCTTTATTGTGCATTCAATACTAAGCTATTCAAATAATACACAGGTTCATATATTCATGTTTTTATTTTAAACATGTGCAAGGTACAGTGAGTAGGGTGGCTGTGCCACTGCCATTTATAAACACACCTTGTCAGCTGATACCAATGCCAATATCAACATTGTCTGTCAATTGCATGATAATCATGCACACAAGCTATTCAAATTGATGTTTTCATTTTAAACATAAATGTGGAAACCAAAATGAGTGATGGCCTATTAGTGCCACTGCCATGCATAAACATACCTGTTATCTTGCATACAATACTGAACTATTAAAATAATGGACAGATTCATGTTTGGAAAAAAAAAAAAATATATATATATATATTTATATATATATATATATATACTGTATATATTAAATTGTCTAATCAACCAACAATTTCGCGGACCCCCTGCAGTCCGCGAAATTGGGGTCTGCTGAAGACCTCTGCTCTAGACGCTAGAAGCCATAGTAGTTATGACGGGAGCAAAGGAGGAAGTCAGAAAACGAAGTATTGAGAGCAACAAAGTCAGTATGAGGTGATGGCCGGGGGTGATGGATGGGTCAAACCCAGGCTGCAACTTCCGGTTACTGAAAAGTGAAGCCAATGTAGAAGTGTCTTAAACTTGCATTCTCTCTACTGACCATCAGGGGGAAACTCCTCTGGTTGCAAAAATAAGTCAGATCGTATAGAAGTCTATGAGAAAATGACTCTACTCCTCTCTTGATTTATTACCTCAGTAAACATTGTAAACATGAGTTTATGGTCTCAATCTCTAGTTTCAAGTCTTCTTCAACACAGCATGATGTTCATTTAGTAAATGATGCTCCATTTAGAGTCAAACAGACCATAAAGTGGAGTCTGTTTTAGGGCGGGGCTACACAGTGATTGACAGGACGTTACCGCTACCAGAGCAGAATAAAGCGTCTCTAAGTCACTCCTCCGCAGTCCAAATATGGTCACCTCTGTTCAAAAAACAAAATGGCGACGGCCAAAACTACTCTAGGCTTCCAAACAAAAGTTCTCAAACCAGTGGTAGATGTCACAACGAAGTACGTGCACTTCTTATATACAGTCAGTGGTCAAACCAAAAGTCGACATTGGCTTTCTTACGTAACTTTTATACTTCACTAACGCTATTTACGTAAATTACGTAACTTAAGTACTTATTTTAAACCAAAACACGATCTTTTGCCAAACCTAACAAAGTGGTTTTGTTCCCTAAAACTTAAGTTATTTTGTTTCAATTCACAACATTGACTTTCACAATGTGGTCGGTGTAGTTTGGCCCGTCTGAAGGGTTAGCATGTTAGTGATAACCACTGATAACGGCCATTCAAGAAGCTGATAACATTGGAAATGGGTGGAGGTCAAGGGTTGGGTTGCGAAATCTGGACTACCTTACTGTCTGTAAAAAAAGTGTCGATGCCAAAATGACATCACGAATAATCAGGATCTCAATACATTATTGATCGTGATTGTGTCGTCTCTTTGCTTTGAGACTGCATTTGCCGTCCACCGGTCATTTAAAGTTTATATTTGGAAAACCTATTTTACAGGAGCAGGAACTACACTTCAAGTTGATCAGAAATATGACCCTGTCAGCACGTACACACACACACACACACACACACACACACACAGATACACAAAGAGATAAAACTAGTCTTTGCTGAACACAGCCTGAGATGATTTTTGTTTTTGGGTTAACATAGCTAAAATATTCCACAAAGGTCAGTGCAGGGTCTCATTATGCAGCACAATAGTCACTTTGAGCAAGCATCAAAGAAAAAGCTGCGCCACCAACGCTGCTGCATCAACGTATTCAGGTTAAGGTCTGTGAATATATTAAGACAGAGAGGGGGGCATAAAATAGTGTGGTTTTAAAAAGTTAATTGATTTTAAAGCCCTTTTTGAAGTGTGTGTGAAGCATTTTTCATTCGGTCCAATTCACCCCGCAATCTCTTTCTTCAGTTCGCTCTTCACTGTCAGAAACATCTTGTCGTTTTTATCCCATTATGTCCAGACTTCCTCCTTCTCCCCGCCAAAGTAAAACCCAGTTACCACTGGTTTACGAATCACCACTGAGTAACTGGTCATCTCGCTGCAGTGAGAACAACTAATTTACATCTGTGCTTTTCCTATTGTGACCAAATGTCTTCTGCGCTTGAGATTATAGGTGGCCTCCATACCAAATTTCCCACACATGATATTGTTTACGGCTGCGCAAAGCATGTCAAGGGCACATTCATGTTTATTATTTAAAAGTGCAGAGTTTTGCGTTTAAAGGCCTTTGCACACCAAGTCTATATTTTTTTCGTTATGTTGAGGAAAAGATCATGAATGATTTAGTTATGTTTAGGCGACAAAACCAGTTTACCGGTTTGGGAAAAGATGATGGTTTGGGTTAGAATAACTATCGCTGGGCTGTTACTGACAAAAAAACTCTGCGTTGACTTGTTGTTTCACATGGGGAACAAACAGCAGCCTCCTGGGTCAAAGGTCGTGGTTTGTAGGACCTGTCTGCCATTTTTTCTGGTCTTTATACTTCCCCGTTCATGACTACGTGGGATAGCTACGAAATGGCGCATTATCTTTCCTAGGTATAACTACGAATGCTGGAAGAGACCAGCCATGTCTTACTACTGGAGGACCTTTAAATAGTCCT